CTGGTTTTGCCCCCCAGGCCTAAGGCTGCCAGCCCTCCCCTGTCAACAGCCCATGTCCGAGTCTGGGGACTCCCGGTAGGCAAGGATCCTCTTGTGTGCCAATTACTCAGTGACATCCACCTCTAGCTTATGAGATGTGGAAATCGTTCTCTGTTTTCTACAGGACTGGGATCTAATGACAGATTTTCTCTCTGTCTGTTATCGCTAAGTTTACTTTATGCTTGGTCTTTTGTCTTTCCGTCATATATCAGATGTTAGGGCATCCGACGTTGATTGTTTTTTCCTTTTTACCCGATGGGGTTATGGTCTCTCATCACACTATTCGGATTCTTCCTTGGTTTCCCATTCCTTTCTCAGTGTTAAAATTGCAAAATATGAAGCCTCTTGTCATGTTGTAAAATTGAAGATTATACTAGCTTTAGTATACTAATAATCTTAACTTTAGTAATGATAGGAGGCAAGTATTTTCCCACCGTGCTTCACTAACTCACCCTTTCTGTTCACTTTCTTTATATGTCTCACTGGTCTCTAGGTAGGTTGTGTGTTTTGTGTTTACATTGATGATTTAAATTCCATTGGTTTGGTATTGTCGTTGGAGTTTTATATGATTGTTGTTCAGTTATCAGATTGTAGTTTACAAATTACTACTGAATGAAATGATGTATACAGTGTGTTACTTGGATTTCCACGTTCATGACTATGTGTCTAAACCTATCGCACATTCTCTTTTCAGTTTTATTCGTCCCTGAAGACATTTTGGTTGTTCATGTGAAATTCTCTGGAAGTTTGCACTTTCGGATGTTGGATTTAGGAGTTGTTATTGCTTGTTATATGTTTACTTCTGCTTGATGTCGCTGTCTGAAAGAGGAAGTGCTTAGGTCACTATACCTCATGAGCATCCTACTCTCTTGTGATTGGTTCTTTTTTTATGTGATTCTTTGCTGCTGTGGAGCTAGTAAAGAGAGAATATGCAAAATACTCGTCTCCTGTCATGTTGTAAAATTAAGATTATTAGTACACTTGTACTACCTCCGTCTATCGCTGCTTCCTAGTACTTGTGAGTACCATAATCACTGCACTGGAACACCATAACCACCGTAGACCCCACAAATCGCCACAGCTTGGTTGGGGTCTCGCCATCTCCTACGCACCCTGGACCTACGACAAGGCTCCAGTGGGTGAACCTCTCTTCCTTCAGAGAGCAAAGCAGGAACAGCTCTTAGAAGAGCTAGTGTTTATTCAAGGGAGTATGATGAGCATAGCAATCCCTTGTAGCAGTTTCCAGCAATAAGCAATAAGCAGTATTGAGGGTGAAGTAGAACAGAAGGTTTATTGAACACACTAGCCTTTTATACAGTTTACACAGCAAAGGTGACGCCCAGGTGGACCTAGTTGGGCACCGAACACAAAACATACAGGCCAATCAGAAACAGTGTGATCATGAATAACACTCCCACATACTGTACACAATCCCTCCCCTCTGCCTGTGATATAATTACTGAAGACAATGGACTAACTCAATTAACTCTAACAGAAAAAAACATAAATTTTTACAAAATCTGAAAAACACCCCAAAACATAACATATCCCCATAAATCTTACATCCCCTGATATTCCTGATCTGGGTAAACAACAACATATCCGAAAATCAGCCAGATCAGAGCAGGAGTTCAAAAGTTTCATGGAAGTCTCTTTTGACCGACCGCACGCATGATTTCATGCCCAAAACATTTCCAGAGAATTTGGTTGTGCAGCCAGTCTATGTCCAATGGCTAAGTTCACTTCAAATGCACGAACGGGTGCCGTTCGTGCACAAAGTCCATGTTGAAGTGCCGTTCGAATTGTCGAACAGCGTTCGACTCCAGTCGAAGAGTCAAAGTCCAGAGAAGGTAAAGTTTCAGTGGTGTTTGTGCCGTTGCATGTCCGATTTGAGTTCCATGAACTCAACGACAAAACACCGCTGACCTTGTTCGACTAAATAAAATGGCTGTTTCCGAAGTGCCACTTCGAAAGTGTAAATCTGTTCCAAAGGTATTTAAAGAGGCAGAGACAGTGCCTTAAATCCAAATAAGTCACAGGGACCATAGGGATGTATGTATATATGTATGTATATATATATATACATATGCATATTTTTTTATATATTTATATATAGCATATATATGCAGTACATAGTACATATAATTGCACGAGGAGACAAATCAAAAACTTAGCACTTAGTTGTCCACTCCCCTTCCCTCTTTCCTCAAATCGTGATTATAAATTTGAACTTTTAAAAGTTCTTAAAGGGACATGCATCGCTTGACCATTGCTTTTTTTAAAGCAGCAAATTAACACTTTTAAACAAATATTTAATAAATCAAAATAAAGCTAGAACAAGTGTGAAATGTACCGTATATACTCGAGTATAAGCCGACCCGAATATAAGCCGAGGCCCCTAATTTTACCACAAAAAAATGGGAAAACTTATTGACTCGAGTATAAGCCTAGGGTGGGAAATGCAGCAGCTACTGGTAAATTTCTAAATAAAATTAGATCCCAATAAAATTACATTAATTGAATATTTATTTATAGTGTGTGTATAGAATGAATGCAGAGTGTGTGTTTGTGTGTGTTTATATAATGAATGCAGTGTGTGTGTGTGTTTGTGTGTTGTGTGTGTGTATATAATGCAGTGTGTATATAATGCAGTGTGTGTGTTTGTTCAGTGTGTGTAAACTGGATGATGGGAGGGCATTTTTATTTATTTATTTTAATATTATTATTATATTATTATTATTATTTTAATATTTGCATTATTTTATTTTAAATGGGTTTTTGTCCCCCCTCCCTGCTTGTTGCCTGGTCAGTGAGGGAGGACAAAAAACATTTTTTTAAAAATAATGCAAATATTAAAATAATAATAATATAATAATAAAATAATAATATTTTAATATTATATTATTTTAATATTATTTTATTATTATATTATTATTATTTTAATATTTGCATTATTTTTTTAAAATGTTTTTTGTCCCCCCTCCCTGGCCAGGCAACAAGCAGGGAGGAGGGACAAAAAACCATTAAAAAAATAATGCAAATATTAAAATAATAATAATAATATAATAATAAAATAATATTAAAATAATAATATTATTTTATTATTATATTATTATTATTTTAATATTTGCATTATTTTTTTTAAATGTTTTTGTCCCCCCTCCCTGGCCAGGCAACAAGCAGGGAGGAGGGACAAAAAATAAAAAATAAAAAATAATGCAAATATTAAAATAATAATAATAATATAATAATATTATTTTAATGATATTATTTTATTATTATTAAAATAAAATAATATTAAATCCCTAGTGGTCCAGTGGCATTGGCAGTTCAGTGGGGGGCTGACAGGGAGCTCTTACTTACCTTCCTGCAGCTCCTGTCAGCTCCCTCCTCCTCCGTGCAGCTCCTCGGTCAGCTCCGTTCTGTTTACAGTGTAAGTCTCGTGAGACCCGCGGCTCTCGCGAGACTTACACTGTGAGCAGAATGGAGCTGACCGGGGAGCTGCACGGCTTGTAATGACCCCGGCGATCCTGGTCTGTATTATGGCAATGTAAATTGCCATAATACAGACTGACTCAAGTATAAGCCGAGTGGGGGGTTTTCAGCACAAAAAATGTGCCGAAAAACTCGGCTTATACTCGAGTATATACGGTATGTGATAAATGTTTATAAACTTACTATAAGCTTGGTCAGATTGCATTTTTGGGTACGCCTCTCAGCTAGGAGAATTTCTTCAACCCCTTCCTCTTACAGACTCATCTTAGATTGATATCACTCCACTAATGTCAGAAACAGGGCATCATTGTGTAGAAGCAGGAGAAAGAAAACCAACACCAGAGCCTGCTCTGCATGAATCACACTGATCAAACTCCCTCTCTTCTCCCCCTGTCATATGTTGTAAGGTGAAAAGATCTTCCAACTGCAAATGTGTGCATTCCTAAGGATAGGGCACAGATTAGTTAGGTTAACCCTCCCCCTGAAAGTGGGTGTATATATAAGAGGCTGTAGATCCTTGCCTTTAGGCTATATACAAATCTATGGCCGGGTGCAATATTACCAGGGCTCCAGTTTCCAATCATTATATGAAGATGGCTGCAGTCTTGGTCCTTAATAAATCCAAATTTTATTCCAACTTCATTAAAAGAAAGATCAACGTTTCAGTCCCTTTGAGGGACTTTCCCCCAGATCACAATGCATATATATATATATATATATATATATATATATATATATAGACAAGTATTGTACTGTATTTCTGAATATAGCCTTAGCAATGAACACTGTTTTAAACACGTTTTTTTTTTTTAAAGAAGGATCATAGACCAGAAATCAGCGACGGACTGCAGTTTTACCCTTGGTCAACCTTGTTGGCCATATAAGCATGGCACCAGTTCTCATCTGGAAGTTAAAGTCTATGTGACTAAGTACCAAAAACATTGTGGTGAGACCAAACACAATAAAACTCCCCACAGTGCAAATACAAAAATTACTGTTTTTCATCACCTTCACATATAAACTCTATAAATCATGTTTCAACAACTATCCCAGAATTCACAGCTTGACATGCAAATGAGCACAGACAAGCATAATTTTCTGCAGATACCATTAGTAATGAACACTGTTTTAAAAACACAGCTTTTTTAAACCAAAGCACGACCTATGAAGCATATATAATATATATGTAATATACACTGAACAAAATTATAAACGCAACACTTTTGTTTTTGCCCCCATTTTTCATGAGCTGAACTCAAAGATCTTAGACTTTTTCTATGTAAACAAAAGGCCTATTTCTCTCAAATATAACTGTGGAGCATACACCTAAGGCACACCTGTGCAATAATCATGCTGTCTAATCAGCATCTTGATAAGCCACTAGTGATGTCCCGAACGGTTCGCCGAACGGTTCGCCACGGACGGCCAACATATGCGGTAAACTTTGACCCTGTACCTCACAGTCAGCAGACACATTCCAGCCAATCAGCAGCAGACCCTCCCTCCCAGACCCTCCCACCTCCTGGACAGCATCCATTTTATATTCATTGTGAAGCTGCATTCTTAGTGAGCTGTCCAGGAGGTGGGAGGGTCTGGGAGGGAGGGTCTGCTGCTGATTGGCTGGAATGTGTCTGCTGACTGTGAGGTACAGGGTCAAAGTTTACCGCATATGTTCGCCGTCCGTGGCGGACCGTTCGGCAAACCGTTCGGGACATCACTATATGCCACACCTGTGAGGTGGATGAATTATCTCAGCAAAGGAGAAGTGCTCACAAACACAGATGTAGACAGATTTGTGAACAATATTTGAGAAAAATAGGCCTTTTGTGTACATAGAAAAAGTGTTAGATCTTTGAGTTCAGCTCATGAAAAATGTGGGCAAAAACCAAAGTGTTGCATTTATAATTTTGTTCAGTGTATATATTAGACTTGTGTAATTGTTTGGACAATTATTTGATTAGTCCGAAATTCGCCTACAGTGTGTTTCGGCTTGAACAATTTTTGTTTTGTTCGTGTAAATGATTTGGGAAAACAATTCAGACAAACAAAAAGGACGTGAAGATGGGCCAGTCAATGTACTGCAAAATATATAGATTTTTATTAGAGGCTATGTTACTCTAGTACCTAAAAAAAGCTAAATAATTGTTCACTTTTGTGCAGCTAATGTTCCACAACTACTAGGGCTCCTCAGTAGTTCAATAATTGCAAACAAAAAATGAAAACAAGCGCACTAAAATTGTGTATTCTCCACAGTTATAGAGTTTAATGAAGACCTGCCAAATTGACCATCATTACGCTGAGTAGATGGAGCATAGTAGCTTTCCAACTTGGTTTAAGTAGATTGCTACCTTCGTCCTTCCTTCGTGCATATGGTGTGTATTACAACACAAATGCATTACACTATAAATATATTAAACATTAAAAGAACACTATAGGGTCAGGAACACAGACATGTATTTCTGGCCCTATGGTGCTAAAAACACCATCTAGCCCCCCACCTCCTTCCCCCATAAATATTGTAAAGCCTTACCCTAATTCCAGGCTGCTGGTGCTGGCTCTGCCCCTGATCTGCCTGCTTGGCTGACATCATCAGAAGTGATTATCTGAGCCAATCACAATGCTTTCCCATAGGAAAGAATAGGATTGGCCCTGCTTGTCAAGAAGGCAGGGGCAGCGCCAGCACAAGCCAAACACAGCCCTGGCCAATCAGCATCTTGTCATAGAGATGCATTGAATCAATGCATCTCTATGAGGAATGTTATGTGTCTCCACGCAGAGGGTGGAGACACTGAAGTGTGAAGCACTGCCTCAGGAAGCAGCTCTAGTAGCCATCTGAGTAGTATCCATAGTTTGTAATTGTAATTGCATTTTCTCTGAAAAAAAACTGAGTTTACTGCAAAAAGCCTGAATTGAATTATTCTAATATCCAGAACAAATACAATAAGCTGTAGTTATTCTGGTGACTATAGTGTCCCTTTAATCTAATTGCAAAGTGAAATAAAAAAAAATAGTTTTGCTTTCTTCAATGAACCTTCATTCCTGAAGGACACAAGTAACCAATCAGAAGAAAAACCATTAAGAATAATCTAAAGATAACACAGGGCAATAGAATATTTAGTCAATTATGATTAAACAAACAATTCTGCAAAGTTTAATGCTCGGATGCTTCTATAGAGCTCCCCTAACCCCAGGAGTGTGCTATGATTACAGGCTTTGGTACTAAAAAAAAGAAAAAAAAATACAACTTGGAGGCAGAAAGAAATAAATCAAGGCTGAGACCAGCAGCTTTGAGAAGTATTCCCAACTCTGACATCAAGTCTCAAATGCAGAGAAGGTCAGCAAGTTGTAAAGTTAAGAAAGGCAGCTGAGCAAAGGGATTCTGGAAGGATCAGTGAATCAGAAAGACGCTGAGCCAATACAGCCTGTAAAGAAATAGGCAACTTTCCCTGTACTAGACAAAAATACAGTCCCATGGCACTCATTGCATTCTTCTGCAAACTATCTCATGCATTAGAGGAGAGCTGACAAATGCATCATCTTGGACACATCTGCATGATTAGTTTAAGCTTATGATGATTATAAAAACAATTTTTACGATAACTTGATGCTTACATTTTTAACAACAGCTACTTGCTGATTCCATTTTATCTACATGCATTTCAATCTTCTGTTTTTAACCAGTGAAAACAAAATAAAATAAAACTTAGCCCCACCCTGGAGCAAGTGAATAAAAGTGTAGACCCATGTCTAAATGATACCTAAATGATACCTTTAATTTGCTACTAATTTGGCGCCACCTATGGGTCATCATACTTAAGTGCGGCTTAGCTTCAACTTTATTGGGGTGTGGTTCCTGCAAGTCAGTCAGAAGAGCTTACTCACTAAGTATTGAATTGAAGTTGGGCCAAATTAGCTGTATTAAAAATTCTCCAATTCAGTTACAATTTAGCTTGCTTCACTGCAATTTGCTGAAGTTTATTAGACTTGTGCGAGATGTACAAATTTAGTCAATTTATGAATAAAAAAACTATTTGTTTGGCTCATCTGAAATTTTGTCCATGCAAATGATTCAGAAAAAATGATTTATATATACATGGCAGTTCTTATTTCCTGAAACTAATTCTTGTTGAAATTTGCTGGACCAAGTGCATTAGGTCCCCTTTTAATGCAGGGTGGACAAAATTCAGGTCAGAAGAGCTAAATTCTAAGTCAGCGAGACAGTGGTGTATCCTGGTTTTGTGCTGCCCTAGGCAGGACAAAACTCAGGCACCCCCCTCCCCCCGCGCCACCCCCAACCAGCCCTTCCCCCCGCCCCACCTTCTAAAGACACACACAGTCAGACACACACACACACACAGACACAAACACACACACACACACAGTCAGACACAAACACACACACACACAGTCAGACACAAACACACACACAGTCACACACACACACACACACACACAGTCAGACACACACACACACAGTCAGACACACAGTCACACACACACACAGACACAGTCAGACACAAACACACACACACAGTCAGACACAAACACAGACACACACACACACACACACACACACAATCACTCACATTAACACCTTTTTTTTTAATTTAACCTCCTCCCCAGCCTCTTTACCTTTGGGAGTGCTGGGGGGGGGTGGTTCCTCTTTCTCCCTGGTGGTCCAGTGGCTGCCGGTCGGGCTGATGGGCTGGCTGCTGGGCAGGCGGCTGGCGAGGGAGCTCTTCCTCTGAGCTGTCTGCTCAGCTCCCTCGCGCGCTGCACAGTGAGGCTGGGAGCCGGAAGATGATGTCACATTCCGGCTCCCAGCTTCACTCTGCTGTGCGAGAGGGAGCTGAGCAGACCGGTCAGAGGAAGAGCTCCCTCACCACCTGCCCGCCCGCCCAGCAGCCATCAGCCAGCCCACCCAGCGTCCGGCATGTCAGTTAGCCGCGAGGCTAACAAGGCATTTGCCCTGGGCATTTGGGGGCGGCGTTTTTTGCCGCCCCCTGAAAAATGCCGCCCAAGGCAAATGCCTTGTTTGCCTTGCGGCTAATACGTCCCTGCAGCATCAACCCCCCTCACAACCTGTTAGCATTACCCCTCACTATCACCCCACCACTATCACCCCCCCTCACCACCCCCAGCATTATCCCCTCACCATCACCCCCTCCCTCAGCACTACCCCCTCACCATCACCCCCTCCCTCAGCATCACCCCCTTCACCATCACCCCCCGTCCTCAGCATCATCACCCCCCTTCCTCAGCATCACCTCCCTCATCACCCCTTCACCATAACCACCCCCTCACTATCACCCCCTCACCACCCCTGGGCATCACCCCTCACCACCCTCCTCCCTCAGCTCCCATCCCTCACCATCAGCCCCCCCTCACCATCAACCCCCCTCACCATCAGCCCCCCTCCCTCAACACAGCCCCCTCCTCAACATCAGCCCCCTCCCTCCAGCATCAGCCCCCCTCAACATCACCCCCTCCCTCAACATCTGCCCCCCTCACCTTCATCACCCCACCATCAGCCCCCCTCTCCATCAGCCCCCTCCCTCATCAGCTCCCTCTCACCATCCCCCCTCTCCCATTCACCATCACCTCCTGTCAACATCACCCCTTCTCCCATTCACCATCACCCCCTCTCACCATCACCTGCCTCTCACCATCACCTGCCTCTCCCTCTCATTACCCCTCTCCCTCTCACCATCACCCCCTCTCCCTCTCCCTCTCCCTCTCACCATCACACCCTACCTCTCACCACCACCCCCTCCCTCTCCCGTCACCCTCCTCCCTCACACCATCACCCCCCCATACATACAACACACTTCAAGCAGCTACCCCATACACATAGGGTCCCAGACAAAAACGCAAACATGCTCACAGAGACATACATTCACATACAGAGACAAGGATACTCTCTGTCAGACACACTCTCAGGCACATACACAGGTAAACTGTGCATCAATGTGTATATGTGACAGTGTGCATGTATTGCAACTCTATTTTTTCACTTTTTTTTTGTTAGTGAAGCCTCATGTTTGAGTCTCGCCTAAGGCCTCATAAAGTCTAGAGCTGCCTCTGTAGGTTAGGAAAGGTTACAGTGAAGCAGTACCTTCTGGGTGTCTACAAACTCGTATGGTGCTGAGTAAGCATGGAAAATATGAAGACAGAAAACAGAATATAGTGTAGTATATTCTATAGGTGGTGAGGTAAAATAAGAAAAATGCCATTTACAATTTTTTGGAGCGTATGTTCAGCTTCCGATATATGTGACTGTGCGATATGATTCCTGCCTGTGAATATGTCGCTCAGCTTGGTTCCTTGTAGATGGTAGGTCAGGGTCAAGCGACAGTAACAGTGTCGAGCATTCACTGTATTTCCCTCCAAATTGCAGTGTCACAGATATTCACCAAATATATAAAATGAGAATAAAAACAGAAATATAGTGGTCTCTTTGGTTGTTATAAAAGCAAAATAAAAGAAGGTATGCTCACAAAAGGAGAGCAAATTTTTTTATTTTTGCTTAATTTTCTGTAGCGGAGGTGGTTTCCTCCCCACCAAGGAGGTAGAAAGTGTGCCTCCTCCGGGTTAAAATCTTCAGGGATAAAATCAGGAAGGTCCACGTAAGGTAA